AGTTGAGTTTCATGTTACCAATAGGAGGCGCACGCTAGACATATCTTGGTCTACTTCTAACACAGCCAAAACCACAAAGATTATGTAGGTTAGCTATAACATCTACCTTAGAAATACCCCCTCTCTCTTTCAGCACTGATAGCTACGACCAGATTGATAGCTTAATAGAATGAAGTAGCATGTCAAAAGTCCTGTCAAAAGTCCTTCTATTTCTTTCTTTCCATACCTCCCAAAATATGACGCCTTTAGCTATCCTCCAAATAATCTTACTCGATTTAGGCAGATGAGGACGTGTAAATTGAGAACCTATCCCCTCCACAGATTGGGGAATGACCAAATTAATACCAAAAACATCAACTAGCCAAGACCACAATCTCGCCATAAAGAGATAATGAATAAACAAATGGGCACCAATTTCACCATCAGCTTTACATAATAACCACCCCTTTGGCCGAACTTTTTCCCTTTTTATCAAGTTATCAATGGTCCAAACCAATTACCATCCTTCATTCGATTGATGACATTGATTTGCACCTAATTTTCACTAAAGAAGTTAAGAAGATGCACTATATGAACATGAAATAAACACGTAACTTACCATCTACTTATGATGAAATCTGTTCTTTTGAATAGCTTCATGTGAACGATGAAAACCTTGATGCATTTGAGACATAGGATGCGTTAGGAGATAAACTATCCATATTGCATGAAATGAATAATATGCCCTTATAAAGAAAAGCCGAAGCGGTGCGGATTTTTCTTGTTGTGTGAATCAAACTACTTCCATCTCCAGTGTCCATGATCTTGATTCAATGGTTGCGATTTGGTCTTTCTAAAAAAACCTGTAAACCCGCTTCAGGGATCATTTCTCTTTTACCCTTTTTTTTTCCTTTTTGTCTATTTTTTTTGGGAGCAAGTTAGCTTGATTTGTTTCAATTCTGCGACCTCTCTTGGGAAATGGCTATAAAAAGTTCAGACCAAAATTATTTTTTCTAATTCCAAATATAAAGAATTAGAAAATTATTTCCCTTATTTTGCATGGGACGCGATGCATATTTTATATTATATGGTTATTTAATAATTGTGATTTTTCTTCATAAAAAAGGGGGAGATGGCAGGACACTGGTCCAACCACTTCAATTAATTAGTGTTGCGCTTAAAATATCAAATTTAGCTCTCACATTGTTACTATCAGACTTTGACTACCCGATCGGTGTGCTGAGTAGTCGGGCCGAGTACTCAGGCTCGGCACCCTGGCAAGCGGGAGTTAGGGTGTCCTACTCTGGGATATTTAAAAAATTCAACAAAATCCAAAAAATAAAAATTTATTTGTGATATGTTTTTCTTTTCATGTTTACCACCTTTTAACCTAAAATTTGAAGGGTTTTGCTTAATCTTACTTTAAACATAATTTTTATTTTTTATTTTTTATTTCTATAATTTTTTAACCTCTTTTTATGCTACAATACTCAGCGCTACTCGGCTCAAGTGAACCTTTCTAACACTAGTTATTATAGACTAACTAACTATATTCTAGCTACTTGTTCTTGTTATTATATACTAACATATACCTCTCCAGTAATTTGGGGATTTGACCATCTTATAGTTTTTTTTTTCATTTTTCTTAAGAAAAAAAAGAAAGAAAGGGAAACTGCTGATGAATAGAAGGATGGCATAGTGATTTTCTCTAACATTTTCATGTGGATTATAATGTCCTGTCCAAATGTTTAAGGAAAGGGCCTATATGAAAATCTAAAGATCTCATCTCATGTACTAGTAAAGGAGTTGGGGTTGTGGTGGTAGCATCACACCCAATTATCGCATTGTGGTATCCATTTTGACACCCCCAATTTAACACCTTCAAAATGTAACTCCCTTGAACTATTGAAAAAACAGGTACACGTCCGTCTTCCTCCACTGAATTACCCAAAAAAAAAAAAAAACAACATACTATCTCCCACTCTAGTTTGCTTACACTCTCTCAATCAAATACTTAATTGGGAGGACTTTTTTCAATATAAAAATTTGGGAATCACTAAAGAATCAATAAATGATTATTCTCAAAAGAAAAAAATTAAAAAATTTGAGTTTTCTATCACTTAGATCGCACCATCTAAAGATTGCTTTATTCAATCTCAATACATTATTTTTTTTAAAGTACATAGATCGCACCATCTAAAGATTGCTTTATTCAATCTCAATACATTATTTTTTTTAAAGTACATAGAGGGTGCATTTAGAAAAAAATAAAAAAAATATTGAGGTTAACGCATGGGTTAAAGAGGTTCACTCCCCAAAACTTGGTGGGGTTTTACCCGAGGGAGTAAATGGACGATATACTCATCCGTGTCACCCGCCATATGCAAACACCATCTGCCCACTCAAAATTCAATAAACAAAATTTCTTTATAAACTTGGGACAAGAAATTATTCTATGCCACTGTAAATCTATCCCCACCATTGGAAAGTGGCGTTGCTTTTGTGATAGTCTAATCCAATGGTTTAAAAAACGGATCGGTGATCGGGATCGGGCTCCCAAAAAACCGATCCGGATCGGCAAATCGGCGATCCGGATCGGGAATCGGGTGAATCGGTCAGAATAAAGCTTCAAAAAAATCCGAAAAAATTATTAAAATTCATTATAAATATTATTTTTTAGGAATTCAATAAGAAATGAGGGTACTCCATTAAGAATTTTCATGTTTTTGAATGAATATACGAATATTGATATGTTCTTTCCCTGCATGAACCGCCATTCATAATTTAGCTTACATCACATAAAATGATAAACATAGAATTATCACGGAATAAGTATATCAACATACATGGACTACAATAAAGAATAAAATTAGTAACATACGATCTAAAAATAAAATGATAGACGACGTTGTTGTTCTTCTTGGTCACGCTGGTGCCATTGATTAAATTCGTTTGACAATTCATTGATTCGATCTAAAAACGAATCATTCGATCATGGAAAAAAAAAAAAAAAATTACAGCAAACTCAAACAATAAAAATTAAAAATTGGGTTTAATACATCATGATAATCAAAACTTTATCACGATTTTCACATCTTTTCGGAAAATCATCATTTTTCAAAAAATTCGATCATGGATAAAAAGAAATAAAAAAAAAAAGTACAGCAAATTTTCAAAAAATTCGATCATGGATTATAAAAAAAAATTCGATCATGGATTAAAAAAAAAAATTTAACAAAGTTTCAAAAAGTTCGATCATGGATTAAAAAAAAAAATCACAAATTTTCAAAAAATTCGATCATGGATTACAAAAAAAAATTCGATCATGGATTAAAAAAAAAAATCACAAATTTTCAAAAAATTCAATCATGGATTACAAAAAATTTTATCATGGATTACGAAAAATTCGATCATGGATTACAAAAAATTCGATCATGGATTACAAAAAATTCGATCATGGATTATAAAAAAAAAAAACATAAAAAAACAAAAATTCGATCGTGGATTACAAGAACAGAAAAAACAATTCGATCATGGATTACAAAAAATTCAATCATGGATTACAAAAAAAAAAAAACAAAAAATTCGATCATGGATTACAAGAAAAAAAAAAAACATTTCGATCATGGATTACAAAAAAGTCGATCATGGATGACAGAAAATTTTGTCATGGATTACAAAAAATTCGATCATGGATTACATAAAATTCGATCATGGATTACAAAAAAAAAACAAAAAATTCGATCGTGGATTACAAAAAAAGAAAAAAACAATTAGATCATGCATTAC